TGAAAAGCCCGTACTTCAAAGTACAAATGATATTTCCTCGAATGGCGTTGACCGTTTTGAGCTATCTCTACACTGAGAGAAATTATCCGATAAAAAATTAACAAACAGATATTTCCGATCAAAATACCGATGAATTTTTCCGATCAGAAAATAATTAATAATTTTTCGGTTAATAATTTTTTGGTCGGTTTAGCCGATAGAATGCCATTATGATTGAAAGTATCCCATTAAATTAAATCGGGTATCCTGATCGGATGTAAAAATAGATCGGAATTTTATCAAAAATATCCGTTTGTTAACTTTTTACCAATTTTCCCTAATGTATGTATAAGATCCAAAATCGTTTAACTCTTTGTTTAAGAAATGTTCGAGCATCAATGACGTTGTGGGTGCAAAGCTATAATGTTGACGATTTTTTAATTCTTTAAAGTCAGGTGTCAACCGGTGAATATGATTTCAGTACTCAACGAATATGTCTAATTCTTTAGATATTTTTCTCTCGGTATGAATGTAAGCAAACGAGAGAGATGGACAGATGCTTTTATTTTCGCCTTTAGAACATTATTGTCAGAATTATAAAAAGTAAGAAGGTGCAAAGAGAGCGACAAAAACAAGGTCGCGAGACAGTCTCACGACTGATTTTCCAGTTAGTGTCGTCCTCGCTCGGTGCTCCTTCGCGTGATGCGATTTTCTCTCTCCCCCCCTCTCTCTCTCTCTTTACTTTTCCTCTTTTCGCCGCTCCGGCAATCGTCGTGCGCTGAAAATTCCGGCCCGACTCGGCCACTACATCATCGCTCTGTTGCTGTATTTTACGGCAATAAGAGTTCGACCTCTGGCACTCTCCCGGCACCTCCGACATCGGCGCTTGATATACGACTGAGGGGAGAATGCCGCGCTCCACCTCACAGCGAGCGAGAGGCGCGCGAGTCCGCGTCTCTCGAGCGCGCAACGAGCGCGTCGATGCATCAACGCCGTGAAATCTGCTCGACGTGGCCGGGACAAAGATATCCCACCCCCGCCAGTCGGTCCAGCGGAGGGCATGGGAGACCACTGCGCGTCGGATCTCTCCTCGCGCGACGATTTTCTATTTCTCTTTTTGCCTTTCGAGCCGCTCGAGCGAAATTTCGTTGACAATTCAATCGTTTTATAAACAAGCAAAAGGAGACGAAAAAGAAGAAAGAAACAATTAAATTTGAGAGAGAGAGAGAAAGAAAAAAGAAAGCGTCTCTACCGTCTTTTTCGCGGAGCGACGTGAAAAAGGGCGACTTTCGCGTGATGCTCACGCGGTTTCGCGAAAAAACCCTTTACGAAGGGAGAAAAAGCGCCGAGTTTACAGATACACATCGGCCTCTGTGCGATTAGGAAACAAAAAGCGCCACGTCGCAAAGCCACCCCCAATAAGCCAGGCACAGACCGATCCACCTATCTACCTATCTATCCTCGAGTGGTAACTCTCGAAATTCACGGTGAAAATATCAAAGCCGTCCGAGATTCGCGAGACTCGGCTCGATGCGATTTGGCCGCATACGTAAGTCGGTCGATGGAAACGGATCTGCTACTAAAGCGGACGAGATGCGCGCGATCGTGTTCGGCGAACCGAACCTTTCTCCCGATTCCGCAACATCCGTAGTACACTGGCGTGCTGCTCTCGGCGCTTTCTTTCGCTGCGCCTTTGTCGGGAATTCGGCCTGCTTTTCAAACAGTCCGTGCTCGTTGCAGCCGTTGCGCTCCCCGGGGACGCTGGGCTGCATTTCGGTGCATCGGCAGAGAAAGAGAGAGAGAGAGAGAGAGAGAGAGAGGGGAAGGGAGGGAGGGAGGAGAGGGAGTCGCATAAATCGATCTTTCCGTCGCGCGGAACGACGCCTGGGCGTACGAAACCTGAATTTTCTGAAGTGCTTGAGAATCGATCTCGCGAGGAGACATCCGGATATGTAATCTCAAGTCATCGGCTAATATGGAAAGCTTGTGAGCGACGACATTTCTTGGTCGGAGAGGCCGTCAAGTGCAATACCCACCGAATTTTTGAGACAACCACAGCAGAAGAATAGTACGATGGCGGGTAACAGTTTGAAGTGATAAAAATATTTCTGCTGTTTCTGGCGTGTCAAAATTCCGGAAACGGTCCGTTTTCAACCTTTCCAACAGCGCTGACATCTACGCTTGGCCTCTTTACTCTTTTTAGATTCAAACACTGCCGAAAAAGAGACGTAACAGATTTCACGGTGGGAGAATGTTCACCACGAAATCGTGCCGAAAGAATAACGGGGAAGTCACATCATATATTTGACAGATGTTACGATATTCGTGACATCTCGAAATGAGATGATCCTTTCGCGACTGTCGTGAATTCGCCCTCGAAAGAATAAACGCGCGCGCGGATGTCTAGGTTATTATTAATGCACGAGTCGTCGGCTATTAATACGCGGTTTCCTACGCCGTGATACTGTGCTCGATCTATCTTCCGAGAATAGGAAAAATAGGAAGGAAAATTCACGAGGTCCCGTCGCGAAATACGAGCGTGTGCCGGGGGTCGGTCTTTCACGGGTGGGGAAGAATAAAAAAGGGGAAACCGCCTCGTAAAATTCGCCACCTGTCCCGCGAATTACCGAATTCCACCGTCGATTGATAACACATACACGCGGGAATTCATGTCTTCCAGAAGGCAGCCGCTTCCGTGGCGTTTCCTCGCCGTGAAAGGAAACGGACGGAAGGAAGGAAGGAAGAGGAAAGGGGAAGGAGAGAGAACGAGAGAGAGAAAAAGAAAAAACGAGGAGATCGCGGAACGGCCTCGCTTCCGCCAGCAGAAGTAAATTTTTCCATATTTTTCCGGGGAAACTAGCGAAGCCAGATATTGGTTCCGGATACGTCCCGGCGCGCGTACCGATTCTCGTTTCGCGGCGGATCGAGCAGTTAACGTTATACGCTTCGAGAGAGGGACTACACTCTCTCCTTTTTTTCTGAACGAGAGGAGAGGGGAAGGATCTTGTTCCTTAATAGCGGCTTACGACGAATAAATGTTAGCGGGAATTCAATCCCTTTTCTATTGCCCCGATATATCGTATCTCTACCGCCGCCTCCGTTTTGTTTCATGTGCTGGCTGCGTTCTCTCATTGATTTTTAACGAGATATAGCGCGACCGCTCTGGTAAAGCGCAAAAAAAGGAAGGGGAAAAGACCTCGAGGGAAAACCTGATCGGGCCTTCCATCTAGGAAAAATGAAATTATGAAACACGAGCTTAAGCAAGACAAACTTGGACGTATTTTCGTTCGCGGAAGGCGAAGAATATATCGGGTTGCCGCGATTCGTCAATCTTTCCATCCACTTTTTATACAATAAAAGAAAAAATATCTAAAACAATATAGTAAATAGTAATATAGTGAGTAGTACAATACATAATAAGAGTATAGTAAATAGTAATATAATATAATAAATAATAAATATTCCTTTGGCATGTACTCTAATGACATATTTGCTTAAATCTAAATTCCTTCATTTAAATAGAACGATTGCTCTCACGGAAAGCAAAGATCTTCAAATTTTATAAAAAAATGTCTGTTCCTCTATTTAAAAAATATTTCTCATTGTCATAAGTATTTATTATAGTGTTCACCGACTAAATGTGTTTAATTTTCTAGATATTTTCTCTCCCAATGTAGGAAGCTTGGGTACTTGGAAGCTTGAAAAAAGAGAACAGTCAGTTCAATGCTTGTTCAATGCAGTTCGTTAAATGCTTCAAATAATTATTGCTTATTTTCTTCGTAAAATGATTACTGATCCTTCGAGAATGGATGACGATTTCGTTCTTTATTTCATTCGACAAACACACGATAAATCTTTGCCACAATCATCCGATAATGCGTATTACGTTCCGCGACAGGAATCGAGCCGGATCAGAAGTAGTCGACAGCAATTGCGAACGAGCACGTTTCTCCGCGTTCTCGCACAAGAACACGTCTCATAAAATCCCCGGCTCGTCTGAGGACGTGGAGAATTACGGGGGCGAAAACCGCGACCTCGTGGACTTGTCTGCGAGGTCGGCGACGGTGTACCGGCAGAGGACGCGGCTGCATTTAATTTCGCGCATTTAATTCCCGCAGGATGCGTCCTGCACGACGACAGAAAGGAAGACGGCGCGCGCGGGCGACGTTAAGGCTAAAGGTAAACCCGGGGACCGGTTATGACGGCGGCTTTCAGCTCGGGATTTCGTCGCTCTTCCTGCTGCTGCTGCTGCGGAGGGTTGTTGGGGGTTGTAGGTAGAATGAAGACGGCGGGGACGCGTCCCCCGAAGAGCCCGGAAACGCGGTCGCGACGGTAACTCCCGCGCGAGCGGGAATTAAGGGACTCCCCCGTACAAAAAATGGCCGCGGCGGGCGACCAGAGGAAGCGAGAGAAAGGGGAGGGGGGGAGAGAGAGAGAGAGCGTGATTTAAATCGCAAGCGGCGAGATAACGTCCGCCCGGACTCGTAATTTCGCCAAGACGAACGGTTATTGGGCGAGCTGCCGCGTATAACGCGCGTCGACTGTTTCCTGGTGTTGTTTCGCGTTTCTTGTTTCCCCGCTGACGACGAACGTTCCCGCGCGAGAGAGGAGTTTCGGAAGTAGCGCGAGATTCGCGTGACGCGTGAAATCGCGCACTCGCGCGATTGTCGTCGCCGTCGTTGACGCGCGCTGACGCGGGCTGCGCATTTCCGCCGACCGGCCAATTAAGTCCAATCGACGAGGAAGATTTATTTGTTCGGATTTAATTGATGAGGATGTTTGATGGTTAATTGATGCGGATTCAGCCGATGAGGATGATTGATGGTTAATTGATCGAGATTTAATTCACCGGAGTGGGAGGGAGGGAGGGAGGGAGGGACGGAGGGGGCACCCCTCTGATTGACGTTTAATTGATTTAGAATTTAATTTGCGGCGGATGCGTGGGCGTATGTGTGCTTCGCGTCGGGCCGCGTCGAGTCTTCAAAATTGCATCGTGCCGAACGACAGATCGATAAACTCACCTCGCGATACGACGAACGAACGGTCCCGCTGGAATAACTCGCTGTCCCGTAACTCGACTCAGTCCGCTGCGCCTGTAACGTGAACAAAATTAACCGCGTTTTCAACTATCTATATGCCGGCTCCACTACGGAAGCGTTCACGTATCACAATTAAGTGGGGCGCGCGCATCAGCCCCGGCTTCTATTCCGAATTCATCTCGCGGAAATGTCGCGGAGAGACTCGCGTCTCTCAAATGTCACGGCGCGTCAATTTAAGCGGTTCTGCGCAATTACGATAAGCATTTATGAGAAGGCAGAGAGAGGATGTTCACCGTGACGGTATATCGATTACATTTTTATCAGTTACAGCGATCGGACAAGGAGAAGCGTTGGACGCAATTAATCGATGTTCTTCTTGAAAAAGAATCACCTTCCGAGTGTTCCTTTCTTCCTCCCCACCTAACACGTTTACTTACACTACTCTCTTAAAGTGAATCAGTGAAACATCATTAAAAGCAGTGAATATACACTGATTTGCAGTTATAAGTATAGCACAATGAGCAGAGACTGCTCAGTGCTATAATTATAACTGATATCAGTGACTATTCACTGATTCACTTTAAGAGAGCATAGTTTTAAAAAAGCTGGTTATTTAAATAATTGAAAAAGACAGGAAAAAACGGATTTCTTCTGAAAAATTAATATTTTAGGAAAAGTTGATATTTTCGTTACTTAAAGAAAAGATATTTTAAGAGAAAATGTTTTATTTTATATTTGAAGAATAAAAAAAGAAAAGAAGCTTTAAGAAGCTTAGAGATTGCACATTGAGAGAAATTACTCGATAAAAAATTAACAAACGGATATATCAAATTCCGATCAATTTTTATATTCTATTTAATTTAATCGGATATTTTCGATCATAATGGCCTTTCATCAGATAAACCGATCAAAAAATTATGAACCGATATTTCTCATCGAATTTTTCCTGATCAGATATAAAAATTCATTGGTATTTTCATCGAAAATATATGTCTGTTAATTTTTTATCGGATAATTTCTCTCAGTGTGAAGTAAAAACACCCAATAATTAGAGTGTTATTATCTCGGTTTTTAATAAATACTTCCACGTTATAAAACACCCTGTGTAATGATGTAGTGATTACCATGTAATCGATATAAAATTAGAATACAATAACCCAAAAATATACAGGATACAATCTGCTGTCAGATCTTATTTGCAAACTAGAACAGCAGCAGATTGCGGACACAGATGACTACGGACTTCTGTCGGCAGGTCATGTTCAATCTGTCCTCAGAATGTTAACAGATTGCTTACTGGGTTCATTTACCTTCAGTCTAATGCACGCAATTATCTTCTTTACGGAAAAAAGCAAATGTGGCATGTTCTAATCAAACACGCATGAAATTTTCTACTCGAAAAAATCGAAAAAATCCACGGGAAAATTGAGAAAAAAATTTTTCCTCTGTTTTCAAGACTATAATTCACACTAATAAAAAATGTTTTTCAAATAAGAAAATACACATTTTCCCAAAACTTTAGCTTTTCAATTTTGTTACGTTTTTTTTGTAGCAATTGTTTATTTTACCTAAATGAAAGAATTTAGACTGAAGTAAATATGTTGTTTAGTGCCCACTAAATAAATATTCTTTATCTCTTAGATATTTCTTTTTCTCTTGATATATAGTAACGCGGGAATAAACTGTCAGTGATATCTATTTTGCTAAGGAGCGCAGCGAATTTCGCTGGGAATATAGCAAACTCTCTTTTTAAAGCTTCCAGCTTCTGAAAATAAATCTACAATAAAAGGCCAATAAATTACTGCAGGATGTCGATCCATTTGTTAGTTCTGCAGCGACTTTTGTTATAAAGTTCTCCCCATATCTCCGGCTACATTCGCTTTAAATTCGTCCGATTTTGCTCAAACACGCGGGAAATCTCGAAACACTCCATGTCCAAGGTGTAAACATCGTATTCGTGTGTAGGTGGATTATTAGGTTGCGCGGAATTTTAGGCGGCGGCAATTAAGACTCGGAATCTGCGAATTGCGCCGTAATACTCTGCAACAAAGAGGTAAACGTTCGCGAGGCAGCGCAGAATGGGGAAAAGAGGGATTAACGGAAGAGAAAGAGAGAAAGAGAGAGAGGGTAAAATTAATAAGTATGACGGAAATAAGCGTGCAAACTATAATTTCGTCCAGAGCGTGGAAGAAAGGTAGGAAAGAGAAAGAGAGAAAGAGGGAGAGAGAGAGAGAGAGAGAGAGAGAGAGAACGAGGAGAGACAGAGAGCGAGGGAGAGAAGGAGTTTAAAGTGAAACGCGACGCGATGCGCTGAAAGATATATCCCGACGACGCCAACTAGAGAGATTAGATGTCGGCGATTCGCTTCGCGAAATTAAGCTCGCTTTAATCCGGTGCAACTACGTCGATTAATCCTCCCGCGTACTTGAGCTTCCGTTTCTGAGATTCCTCGCGCACGGCTTTAGTTCCACAAGTACGACTAGCGGTACAAGGACTGTACGACTTCAAGTGCCGTAGGCTGCTCTCCTCCTTCTCCCTCTGTCTCTATCTATCTTTCTCTTTTTCTTTCTCTATCTATCTATGTAGGGTGACACTTGGCGCCGCAAGTCCTCGTGATTTTTCTTCAGGCGCGTACTCGCACCTCCAAGAAAGAAAAAGGAAATGAAAGAGAAAAAGAAGGAAGGAAAGAATCAAGAAAGAAACGGACGAACTCCTTGGCGAGACGCCTTCTCCGCTAATTTCCCAGCGCGATCGGAAATTCGCGGCCACGCGCGATAACGAAATCTTCATTGTGAGACAGAGAGGAGAGAGAAAGAACGCGTTTTAATTGGCCGACGATTAAACGGCGAAAGAAACGGCATATATATATATATATATATATATATATATATATATATATATATATATAT